TACAAGAGATGGTCAGAGACCACAAACACGATACAAGAGATGGTCAGAGACCACAAACACGATACAAGAGATGGTCAGAGACCACAAACACGATACAAGAGATGGTCAGAGACCACAAACACGATACAAGAGATGGTCGGAGACCACAAACACGATACAAGAGATGGTCGGAGACCACAAACACGATACAAGAGATGGTCGGAGACCACAAACACGATACAAGAGATGGTCGGAGACCACAAACACGATACAAGAGATGGTCGGAGACCACAAACACGATACAAGAGATGGTCGGAGACCACAAACACGATACAAGAGATGGTCGGAGACCACAAACACGATACAAGAGATGGTCGGAGACCACAAACACGATACAAGAGATGGTCGGAGACCACAAACACGATACAAGAGATGCATTCAAAAGAAAGGTAGATTGCAGTGCTACAACTAATATCCAACATATGGAGGGATAAGGATCAAATGCTCATGCCTAGACATACTGTACATACTGTCCATAGTTCAAAGAAAAAGTAGAAGCCCCGCACCAAAGCAGCTTGAGATATAATTATTAGGCTTTATTCTTAATCCATCAATACATAAAAAGAATCAATTCATACAGTAAGATTGACACGTTTCAGCCACCCATATGGCCCTTCGTAACAAACAAAACAAAAACATATTATACAATATTATTACTAAGGTCTATACAGGTGGCTGAAATGAGTCAATCTTACTATAGGAATTAGTTCTTTTTATGTCTTGATGGACTAAGAATAATGATTTCATCTAAAGATGCTTTGGTGCCAGACTTCTACCTTTCTTAGAAGGATGCAAGGCCAGAGACCACAGACACAATGCCAGAGATGGCCCGAGACCACAGACACAATGCCAGAGATGGCCCGAGACCACAGACACAATGCCAGAGATGGCCCGAGACCACAGACACAATGCCAGAGATGGCCCGAGACCACAGACACAATGCCAGAGATGGCCCGAGACCACAGACACAATGCAAGAGATGGCCCGAGACCACAGACACAATGCCAGAGATGGCCCGAGACCACAGACACAATGCCAGAGATGGCCCGAGACCACAGACACAATGCCAGAGATGGCCCGACACCACAGACACAATGCCAGAGATGGCCCGACACCACAGACACAATGCCAGAGATGGCCCGACACCACAGACACAATGCCAGAGATGGCCCGAGACCACAGACACAATGCCAGAGATGGCCCGAGACCACAGACACAATGCAAGAGATGGCCCGAGACCACAGACACAATGCAAGAGATGGCCCGAGACCACAGACACAATGCAAGAGATGGCCCGAGACCACAGACACAATGCAAGAGATGGCCCGAGACCACAGACACAATGCCAGAGATGGCCCGACACCACAGACACAATGCCAGAGATGGCCCGACACCACAGACACAATGCAAGAGATGGCCCGAGACCACAGACACAATGCCAGAGATGGCCCGAGACCACAGACACAATGCCAGAGATGGCCCGAGACCACAGACACAATGCAAGAGATGGCCCGAGACCACAGACACAATGCAAGAGATGGCCCGAGACCACAGACACAATGCCAGAGATGGCCCGAGACCACAGACACAATGCCAGAGATGGCCCGAGACCACAGACACAATGCCAGAGATGGCCCGACACCACAGACACAATGCCAGAGATGGCCCGACACCACAGACACAATGCCAGAGATGGCCCGACACCACAGACACAATGCCAGAGATGGCCCGAGACCACAGACACAATGCAAGAGATGGCCCGAGACCACAGACACAATGCAAGAGATGGCCCGAGACCACAGACACAATGCAAGAGATGGCCCGAGACCACAGACACAATGCCAGAGATGGCCCGACACCACAGACACAATGCCAGAGATGGCCCGACACCACAGACACAATGCAAGAGATGGCCCGAGACCACAGACACAATGCAAGAGATGGCCCGAGACCACAGACACAATGCAAGAGATGGCCCGAGACCACAGACACAATGCAAGAGATGGCCCGAGACCACAGACACAATGCAAGAGATGGCCCGAGACCACAGACACAATGCAAGAGATGGCCCGAGACCACAGACACAATGCAAGAGATGGCCCGAGACCACAGACACAATGCAAGAGATGGCCCGAGACCACAGACACAATGCAAGAGATGGCCCGAGACCACAGACACAATGCAAGAGATGGCCCGAGACCACAGACACAATGCAAGAGATGGCCCGAGACCACAGACACAATGCAAGAGATGGTCCGATACCACAGACACAATGCAAGAGATGGCCCGAGACCACAGACACAATGCAAGAGATGGTCCGATACCACAGACACAATGCAAGAGATGGTCCGATACCACAGACACAATGCAAGAGATGGTCAGAGTGTCTGCAGGGGCCCTAGGAGCTGCACAAAGTGCCAAAGGGTCAAATGCAGACCTTGGGCCACAGGTTGGGCACCAGGGCTCTAGTGGGCAAAATCTGCATTCCCTACATATAAACAAAAAATAATAAGAATTATGGAGAAGCAGGCAAAAGAAAAGTGTGATCACATCAAATATTACTTTTCTGCAAACATATCTCATCTTAAAATATGCGCTCTCTGAAAACACATTAAACTTTCCCTTTAAGACAAGGAAAGAACGAAAAAAAAAAAAAAAAAAAAAAAAAAAAAAAAAAAAGGGGAAAGAAAATTAAGACCAGGACAGAATCAAAACAAAAGCATAAGGTAAAGGGTATAAAATATGTAAAAGTTAAAAATTAGCTTATTTTGAGATGAATAGTTCCTCTATTGACATGGTATTATCCTATCCAGGAGTTCCAATTGTTAAAAAGACAACATTAAATAAATACTTTTTTTCTTTTGTTAGGTGTCATTTTCCATTCTCCAAAGAGATTTTTCAGAGCCTGTAACATATGGCACATGCTATTCAACAGGCATGGCACCAAGGTCTTTTAATGCTGGTACAGGCTCACCATATACGTCAAGGTTTCTTCATCCCTACACACTGTGATACACTTTGACAGATACCATGACGCTGGTTTTAATGGTCTTTACTGTACATCTGTGAATTACTTTATGTGGCGTTTCTACAGTTAAGACATTTATACTAGATCTGTGGTCTGCTAAATAGTTCTTTAATCTTCAACTTTATTACAAGCCCTTCTTTCCAGTAACCACTGTACAATGACTTATTTTCAACCTATTATACGAACTACCATGCTGAAAACGTGCATATTGTACAATCCTAATCTCTACATAGAGTAAAGGAATTGCAATAAATAAATAAAAACTAGCAATTCGTAAATCTCCTGCAGGGATGCCCCTAAGTATCCTTATATTTATGCATTCTGGATCTGCTTTTCCATGTGTGGAGGACTGCAGTTAAGGCTGAATTAATATGGTCTGAGGGTCTGTTTGCACTGTGTTTTAAAATCAAATTATTCTAAATATCTGAAATCTCTGTATGGAGAAGCAATACAATAAAGTTTAGCATCTCTTAATTTCTGGCTTTGATCGGTTAGTGTTCTGGTAGATCTGTTCAATAGGTGCAAATAAAATAAAAACAAAAAAAACACTTGGTAATCCTGCCAGAAATGCAGTGATGTCCTGTGTTAGGTGTACTCTGCAGTCTTATCTTTAAGGCCAGTTCACACCACATGCAGTCCAGTGCATTTTTTTCTGCATCAAAAAACACATTGGTAGCAGGTTACATGGTTTCCAATGGCATAGTTCACACCAATGCGGTCAGTTCCAGAGAAAAAAAAAAAAAAAAGTAAAATGTGCTGCATTTTTTTGCACTGAACTGTACTAGAACACAGTAAAAACGCACCAAAAATGCACTGGAACACCAAAACATATATATGTCCTTATGTAAGTTGAAGAAAAAGAAAATTAACCAGAAAGCATCAAAAACGCACACAGAAATGCATCTGGAGCGCATCCGGACTGCGTTTCTATGGTGTGAACTGGCCTTTGAATAGGGTGAAGCGTAATTAAGTAGTGACCAGACTTCTACTTTAAACTCCCATTCTAAGCCCTATGCTAACTAGCCTTTAAAATAAAGATGTGTATACTAACCTAACTTAAGGGCACTCCAGTCTGGTCAGGTGATCGGCTCCCAGCATCAGCTTAATGGGAGAGGGATGCCCCATAGGAAGTCTATTGGTGATATCACCACCCAGGCTTTTCAGCCGTGGTCACTGCTCTCAACATTCCCCTGAAGCGAAGCAATGGGGAGATCACATGACCAGACTGGCACGCTCTTAAATTAGGTAAATTAGGTAAGGGCACACATCTTTCCTTTACAGGGTAATTGGTTTAGGGCTTAGAAAAAGGGTAGGAGTAGGCTAAAGTTTAGTGAAGTTTTGACTGGACTTCTACTTTAGATATTGTTAGAACTACAGAACACCTCCTATGTTATGGGTATGAGAGGAGTGGGGAAGTTTTCCTGTAGTCTTAACACACTTCATGTGACAATGCTGCTCCTCAAAAGACACAGTACAGTGAGTGTTGTCACTGCAGGACAGAAAGTGTGTTACTGGTAGGATCACCAAGTGAAAACAAAACAGGAAAACCGCTGAAAAAGAAAAAACAATTTAGTAACTACATCTAAAGGCTGGTACTCTACAATACATTACATTTTTGTTCTTTAGTTTAGAGGAGATTCACTTTAAAGGAGAGTCTTCATTTCCAATGTTTTGGACCTTAGTGATTTGGCACCTATAATTTACAGTCCAAGTTGTATCAAAATTGCCACAGAAATACATCTAGTATTGTAGTTATACTCCATTTTTGACATGGATGACCTAAGCTCTAAAACTGAAGTGATTTTTTAAAGATGCAAATAGTTCACCACCATAATAAATTAATAAAAAGAACCCTCACTACTAGCAGCAGCATAAAGATTTTTTTTGTTCTTCAACTAAAATGAAATCAAAGAATACGGGAGGAAATGCATACCTAGATGGCATCTTATTCTGATGTTGGTGGGTCCATAATGCTCTGTGATGACAGTTCCTGGGGTAAGCACAGATATACAAGCATTCCCAAACACATTGTTGCCAATGAAGGTACGAAGACTTCCAAGCAAGCGATACGTCCGTGGGCATTTCTTGCAATTGGCAGGGATACACACACCTTGGTTGACTAAATATAATGTGAACCATTCCCCAGTTGGAGTACTGTTTAATTTCCAACCTTGAGGCATGCTGCAGTTTGAAAAGGCCTTGTAGATGACTTCAAATTCACTGAGGATAGTGGCAAAGTTCTGTTCTAGCAGCTCCACATCATGCTTTTGAGCATCCCGCGAAAAATACGGCATGGTTGGTAAATCAGGAAGGAAAAAAAGCTCTGGCTTTTGTATGGATGGCCTGTCGTTTAAATAACGACCTTGTTCGCGGATGCCTTTGTGAATTCTGCCCATGCCAGACCAGGAGTACCTTTTGGCATATTCCTGCAGATTATGATAGAGTTTTTGGTTCAGTCCTTCATTATGGGTACAACGTACACACTCACGTGAGTGGCAATAAGCAAACCCGTTCTGCAAGCCTTTGGCGTCCGAACTCTGTATGAGTAAATTCACAGTGGCAAAGGGAGAACGGGGTTGGTCCTTACCAACTCGGTAACAATACCATGCAAACAACAATAAGAGGCAGACAACGGTAGTTAGGGCGAAGGTATTGCAGTCACGCACAGCTTGGATGCACCCAGCAATCAGGTCACGAAGTCCTCTCAGTAAACAGGTCCAGTCAGTCAACCACTCTGCAGACATTTTTGTCCAACCGCTGTCTGGTTTATAAGACGATGCAATGCAACAAGGACTGGAAGTTCTAGAAGGAGCCCACACCATGCGGGTTAATATGGATGAATTGGTGAACAAGACAACATGACTCTGCCTGTTCCCTTTAGACATCTAAGCAATGTATTAGTAGCTAGGGGTTGTTTGGTATTGAAATCTAGAAGCACATAGAAACACATGGGACCATACTGATTTCCGTGGTCTGGTTTTGTACAGTACGTAGCAATGTGTCATCACTGGTTTAACGGCTATCCACTGAGGAGAGGTCATTCTGAAGAAGACAGCAGGCAGTCTAGATCTGTTGAAAAAAAAATAAAACAAACACAAAATTAGACTTTTTACTTGTATATATTCTAAAAGATGGAAAAGGTATTTCAACATAATTAATTGCATGGGGTATGTGAAAAAAAATATATAGCAAAAATCGCTTTCATCTTACACATTTTATCCATTCTGCCAGCGAACATTGTTAGTGTTTGGGTCTACTGCCAGCTACATACTTTAAATGCTTTTTAACTTCCATAAGGACACTTTCACACTGTCACACTGATCCTTAGCAGAAACGCAGTGAAAAGGCATGTGTTTTTGCTGCGATTTTACTGCGATTGCGGTGAGTTTTTCGCAGGACATGCAACTCAAAAAACACCTAAAAAATGCAACCCATGTGCGTTTTTGCCAAGTTTGCACTTCAATGCGGTGGTGCGTCACACACACACACACACACACACACACACACACACACACACTTTGCCTTTAATTTCTATTTTAAACTGAATGGGTTGTTTTACAAGGTAATGTTTCACATTAAAGTGGGACTTTAGGCTAGGTAGCAAAAAATGGGCAGGCAGGTTTTTTAATGCAGAAGAGGCATGTTTTGTCTCTTCTGCATTACAGCTACTTACCTGCATGTCTGTCCCTGTACAAGGAGCCACGTGTGTGCAGCTCACTGTAAAAGTTTGGCATTGCTTAATCTGTCTGAACACCTGTGCATGCGTGGAAGTGACGTCATCCCCACCAGGCCAGTGACAGAGGCCAGCAATCGATACCCTGAAGATGTCAGCGGCCGGGTGGGGAGCTCTGGGACACCGCATCACTGGAGTTTTTAGGAGAATATAATGCCACTTCAAGTACACTTACAGGTCTTGTTCCCCCCCGCCTGTGAGTTGGTAGTGCTAGGAGAAATAGCAAACAGATGAGCTGATCTATGTCACTGCTCTCTCCTCCTATCAGCATTCCATCCTATCAATTGCAGCACAACTGGATTGGCTCCTTGTGCTGCATCTCCTCTCCCCAGCTGAGCTCGGCTGTATAGGGACAGCAGGAGAGTTACTTCAGGTCAGGTATTTATACTGCTTGCATTAAAAATGATCATAATGATAAACACATAAAATATGTACTGTGTGTCTTTCAGAACTGCCTGGAACTCCACTTTAATTCTTCAGTGCACCCAAAAATCATATTTCAGTTCTTGGGCAGATAATGGTTGTGTTTTTCTAACATCTCATATACTGTACATCTCAAAGACTCCCGCAACAAGATCTTTGCACATAAATTGTTTGGTTCACCCACCTGCCACAAACATTATGAAGATTTTCAATTATTTTATATTGATACTCCACAGCGGGGGAAGACAAACTAAACGGGAACACTTGCCAATGAAAGCTTTAAGAAAAAAATAAATTTAACGGTTATGGCAGCATCTTCATTATAAAAATGATAAACACACCAGATTCTATACCACAAATAAATGAGAATAATAACTGATAATAAAATCATATTAGTTGTCATTATTCTACAATCAAATAGAAAATGAAGTTATTTTACAGTCTAGATTTTATACATAGGCCCTTCCTACATTCACTTTTTTTTTTATTTTGGAAGTACAAAAAAGCACTCACACACATCAGTAAACGAAAAAAAAAAAAAAAAAAGCATTTATAGAAGCAACCAAAGTACACTATGTTGGCACATTTTGTTTGAAAGCTGATCTCTACTTTGTAGCTGAACCGATGAGCATTTGCTAATCAACAGAAATGTTGGACGTAAAGCAATATTTCAGCATCTCCAATACACAACAGGAAAAAAAAAAAAATCACCACATTACTATGCAAGACAAGCCTCCCAGGCATTTGTATGCATGATAATTACTGCACATTGCATTATTAACAACCAATTCCTTAGTAGAATTACAGACATCTATATCTCACACAGCACACTTTTTAACTGCCTCTAAAATGTACCAGCAATTAAATGAATATTATAAAATGCCCAAAAAACAAGGCTGAACAGAATGCAATGGAAACATAGAACTGACAAAATAATAAAAGTTTGGTTGACAGTCATTTCTGTGTTTATTTAACCACTTGAGCTCCAGAGGATTTACCCCCCTTAATGACTAGGCCTCTTTTTGCTACTCGGCACTGCACTAATTCAACTGATAATTGCGCGGTCATGCAATGCTGCACCCAAACGAAATTTACGTCCTTTTTTTCACACAAATTGAGCTTTCTTTCGGTGGTATTTGATCACCTGTGCGCTTTTTATTTTACACGCTATAAACAAAAAAAGGCCAAAAATTTTGAAGAAAAAAAACTATATTTTTTACTTTCAGCTATATAAAAAAATATATAGTAAACTCAAAGTTAGTTATAAATTTAGGCCAAAATGTATTCTGCTACATGTTTTTGGTAAAAAAAAATCCCAAGAAGTGTATATTGATTGCTTTGTGCGAAAGTTATAGCGTCTACAAACTATGGTATAGATACTGCAATTTACGCAATTTTTTTGCTATACAGCGCTGCGCTAGTTTAATGGAGAAGTGCGCGGTCATGCAAAAAACGGTACATAAATGAAATTTACGTCCTTTTTTCCCCACAAATTGAGCTTTCTTTCGGTGGTATTTGATCGCCTGTGCGGTTTTTATTTTTTGCGCTATAAAAAAAAAAAAAAAAAAACTGACAATTTTGAGGAAAAAAAAAAAAATATTTTGGACTTTTTGCTATAAAACATGTCCAGTAAAAAAAAAAAAAAAAATTTAAAAATCAAATTTAGTCATAAATTTCTGCCAAAATGCATTCTGCGACATGTCTTTGCTACAAAAAAAACTCCAATTAAATTAACCCGTAAATTAATTGGTTTACGTGAAAGTTATAGTGTTTACAAATGGCGGGAAAGATACTGGGATTTTTAGTTTTTTTTTTTTTATACTAATAATGGTGGCGATCAGCGCCTCTCGCGTGCCCCCTACCCGTTTTAAAACATGGTTTTGCCCAGCCGTGCCGCCCTGCCACCGTATTTCTACAGTGGCTGGGCGGCATGTGGTTAAAGTAGAAGTTCACTCAAAACCAAACTAAAAACTTAAGGTGGGAATACACGATTAGAAATATCGACCGATCGGTCATCTGACGACTGAGAGGGCGTTCGTTCGTTGGTCAAAATCGTGGCCCACATTAACCAATCTGAAAAAAATCGTTAGTCAGGCAATACGTAATGTTGTCGTCTTCCATACAAGTGGAAGTGATGTAGTGTGCGTGTGACCTTGTAGCCACGCCCTTCCGGCCAGAACGAGCGATATACACAACAATTAACAGCAATATAGTTTAATATAATATATATATAATAATGTAATAATATAGTTTTATCACATTATCTATATACATAAATAGTGATACATAAAAAATATAAAATGCAGAATTCTGGTTTCATTATCTCATTAGGCCAATCTACTTTCAACATTTGGATTTTTCATTCGTGTTTACGAAGATTCCTTGGACATAAACATCCGAGTCATCTTCTGTTTCCGCTCATGCGTGATCGCGCTTAATAGATATATGTATAGCATTTGTTCTTTACAGGGCTAGATAGATTAGGTTTAGAATGTGGTTGCGAGTAGGTTTAGATTTTGTTAGGTTTTAGGTGAACTTCTCTATAAATCCTGTATAATAATAAAACCTCTTAAAGTAGAAGGCCAACAGTTTGCACAGCGCTTTACTAAATGAGCGACTGGATTTTATTTATTTACAGCAAGGGTAACAATGTATAGTTTGTAATTGCATAATTTCAGGAATAAAAAAAAAAAAATATGAACTCTTAGCACTTCTAAATAAAAATGCCCAAAATGCAATTGGATTTTATTTATTTACAGCAAGGGTGATAATGGCACCACTATGGCACACAAAAGAACCACAATCGGAAGAACAAGAACACCTACAGTGAAATGAAAATGAATCTGTTCATAGACTGATGCAAAGCTTTTGTGACCTTCATTTAGGTGATGGATTAGGTATAATCCTCTCAAACAAATCACACAGCGTCTACACTAAACTACACTTGAATTCATTGAAGATGGACATACAAACATCACAAAATGTGTAAAATCATCTCACAGGGTCATCTCATTCAGTTTGGTGTAGCGAGGCAACTTGGGGACCCCCCCAACCCCGTGTCAGGAAAAAACGTGTCAGAAGTGACTTATACCGAAAGCAGAGGAAATCAAGCAGCAGACAGAATTAAGCATCTTGTCTGGCAGCTGGTTTGCTTTCTTAAAGCGGAGTTCCACCCAAAAGAGGCAGTTCCGCTTTAAAGGACTGCTCCCCTGCTCCCTATTAAGGATTGGCACCTTTGGGGGGGAGCGGGTACCCGAATTTGACAGGTACCCACTCCCGATCCCATCGCCTAGGTGATTGGAAGCAGAAGGTGTCCTTTCTCCCTGTAGTCTTTTGGGACATGTGACAGGTCCCAGAAGACTACAGGACCATTCATGAAGCGCAGTGCTTCTCGCGCATGTGCAGTGGGTACCCGGCTGTGAAGCCGCAAGCTGTCACAACCAGGTGCCCACACTGAAGATGCCGGCCTCCTGGAATACAGGACGGCCGGTGAAACAGGTTTGGGGGGACACACTGAGGGACAGAGTGGCTGTTTTTTAAAAGCAGCTACAGTTTTTGTAGCTGCGGACTTATTTTTTGCCAGGGTGAGTGGAACTCCGCTTTAAGCTTCATGCACACTAAAGTTTTTTTTTAAGCTCAAAAACGCTGGATAAAAAAAACGCTGGATACAAAACGCTGGTAATATCGCTTTTTTAGTAGCGTTCAGAAAAAAAAAAAACACAACACTAT